CCCAAAGCCTAAAATATTTATTACCTGGCTCTTAACAGAAAAATGAATTAGACTTGTGAAGATTTAAAAACAAAGAAACAAAAAAACAAAACATTTCTTGTGTTCCATCACAGACAGTCAAATCAGAATTAGGAGTTGAGGGTTGGATTTTTGCCTCAAGAACCAGCTTTTTAAAATAATTAATTAACTTGCCTGGTTGTAGTGGTGCATTCCTATAATCTCAGAGACTTGGGTTCAAGGTCAGCCTCAGTTATTTAGCAAGACCCTAAGCAACTTAATGAGACCCTGCCTTTCGCATCAAAATTCAAAAAAAGGGGGGGGGCGCTAGGGATATGGCCCTTTGTTTAATTCCTGGTACCCAAATAAATAAATAATACATAAAAACATAAACATTACACATATTAATGGGTAACAAATAATGTTTTGATATATGCATGCTGTTTAAATCAGAATAGACATTTATCATATTTTAAGGTGAAAAGTTCCAAAATCTTTTCTTAAGGATTTCTTTTTCTTTCTTTCTTTTTTTTTTTTTTTTTTTGGTACTAGTAATTTGACCCAGTGGTGCTTAACCAGTGAGCCACATTCCCAGCCCCTTAGGTACAGAATCTCACTGAGTTGCTTTAGGACCTTGCTAACTTGCAGAAGCTGGCTTTGAACTTGTGATCCTCCTACTTCAGCCTCCTGAGCTGCTGGGATTACAGGTGTGCGCTACTTCTGGCGTCTTATAGCTTTTTGAATTGTACTGAACATTTGTTATCTGAAGTAAATCTACTACTGTACAATAATACAGCAGAACTTACTGCTCCTATCTAACTGTAACAGTACTTGTTTCAGTTTGGATTTGAAATGTCCCCTAAAGGCTTATGTGTTATTCTCCAGCCGGTGGCTCTATTGGGAAGTGGTGGAAACCATAGCAAGTAGGATTTATTTGGAAGAAGTAGGGTAGGTTGCTGGTGGCATGCCTTTGATGGTATATTTTATACCCATTACTAGCTTGCTCTTTCTGTTTTCCAGCTGCCCTGACATGTTCTGTCACATGCTCCCTGCATTAATGTTTTGTCTCACCACAGGCCCATAGTGATGAGGCCATTCAACCATGAACTGTAACCTTTGAAACTATGAACCAAAATAAATCTTTCCTCCTTCAAATTGATTTTCTCAGGTATTTTGTCATAGTACCACAAAGTGGACTAACAATACCCATTGATGAACTTTTTCTTACTTCCCTGTGTCCACTCTTTCCAGTTTCTGATAACCACCATTTTACTCTCAACTTCTTTGACATCAGCTTTTTAAGATTCCACATATGAATGAGATCAGATAGTACTTGTCTACATGTGCTTGGCTTATTTCACTTAACATACTGATTGCCAGTTTCATTTACTTTGTTGCACATAATAGGGTTTTATTCTTTCTTTATGTGGCAGAATTGTATATATGTAATTTTGTATAAATACCATATTTTCCTTATTTATCAACTGATGGACATTAAATTGATTTTGGGGGCATTCTAAATAATGATTCAGTTAACAAGGGAGTTAATATGAGGATATCTCTTCAATATTACTGATTTGATTTTCTTGGTTCTGTTTTTAATTTTTTGAGAATCCTCCATATCATTTTCTATAATGGCTTTACTGCTAACATTTCCACCAACAGTGCCCAGGAGTTCCTTTTTCTCCATATCCTTCCAGCACTTGTTATCTTTAGTCTTTTTGATAATAGCTATTCTTACTGGGGTGAGGTAATATGTTATGGTAATGCTGAACATGTTTTTTTCATTTACCTGTTGACCATTTGCTGTCTTCTTTCAGGAATTGTTTATTTAGATCCATTGCATATTTTAAAATTGGGTTATTTGTTTTTTTTAATTTGTTTGTATATTTGTTTTTTGCTATTGAGCTTTTGTGGTTTCTTATATATTTTGGATATCAACCCCTTGTTGGTTGAATGGTTTGAAAATACGTTCCCTCTATGTAGATTGTTCCTGCACTCTGTTGATTGTTTTCTTTGCCATACAGAAGATTTCTGGTTTGTTATAATTTTACTTTTCTATTTTTGCTTCTGTCTCCTATGCTACTGTGGTCTTCATAGAAAAAAATTCTTGCTGATTTGAATGTTATGAAGCATTTCTCCCTTTTTCTCTTCTCATAGATTTAGGGTTTCAGGTCTTACCTTTAAGTATTTAATACATTTTAGGTTTCTTTTATAACTGGAAGGAGATATAGGTCTAATTTCCTTCTTCTACTTTTTATAACTGGTGAGAGATATGGGTCTAGTTTCATTCTTCTGTATGAGAAAAAATACCCAGTTTACTTGGTATAATTTATTAAAAAATATAAACAAATAAAAAAGAACCTATTTTTTTCCTGAAGTGTGTTGTTTGCAGTATTGTTGACAATTAAGTTGTTCTAGATGTGTAGCTTTGTTATATGTTTTGACCTCAGATCTTGTAATACTTCCTGCATTGTTCTTTTTGCTCAAGATGGTTTTGGCTATCCAGGGATTTTTATGATTACATATAAATTTTTAAAAAAATTTTCTACTTAAGAACCAATGTTTTAAAAAAGCATCTTCTGACACATGATTAATATCTAGAATATATAAAGAGCTCAAAAAATTTTACACCAAAAATCAAATAACCAAATTAATAAATGGGCAAATGAACTAAACAGACACTTCCTTAAAAAAAGAAATACAAATGGACAAAAAAATTAGGGAAATGTAAATCAAAACTACAACTGAGATTTCAAGTTACACCAGCCAGAATGGCTATCACCAAGAACACAAATAATAATAAATGCCAGAGAGGAAGAGGAGAAAATGTATGGTGGGACTGTAAATTAGTACATCTGCTATGTAAATCAGTACGGAGGCTCCTCAAAAGACTAGGAATGGAGCTACAATATGACTCACCTACACCACTTTTCAACATTTACCCTGGAGAATTAAAGTCATCTTACTACAGTGACACACATAAGCATGTTTATAGCAGCACGATTCACAGTAGCCAAACTGTGGAACCAGCCTAAATTAATGTTCATTAATGTTCGTTATTGGATGGATTGATAAAGAGAACATGGTATATATACACAATGCAGCTTTATTCAGCCATAAAAAAAGTGAAATTATGGCATTTGCAGGAAAATGGATGAAACTAGAAGTCATCACATTAATCATCATTAATCATCATATTAACAAAAAAGAACTCAGATTCTTAAGGGTTCTATGTTTTCTCTCATATGTAGAAGCTAGATAGGAAAAAAGAAAAGAAAGGTGAGGCTGAATCTCCTAAAAATCAAAGGGAGATTAGTAGAGAAAATGGACCAAGGACTGGGAGGCAGGGAAGGAGCAGGAAAATTCTGGGGAGTGATATTGTCCAAATTATTTTCTTATATTTTATGTATGTATGAATATGTAACAACAATCCCATCAATAAGTTGAACTATAAATATAAAGCACAAATTAAAAATGTAGGAAAAACAAGCTAATGTTTTTAAAAAGCATCCCAGATGAATGAACTAGATAACCAAAGTTAAGAAAAAAATACTTGTCAATAAATCCTACCCTTGAAGAATATGTGATTCACTGGGGGAAAAGAGTCCTTAAAAATTGATAAAATATAATTTATGCATCTAAAATAGAAATACAAAGCCCCAAAGAGGATCTGCAGAGGGAGTATTGTAATTCACTAGTGATGTTTTCACAGGAGGGATGTTGAAGTAGATAAAAAGGTGAATTCAGTGGTGGACAAGATCTCCTGGAGTGGTGTCAGGGTGGGAAGAGCACAGAGATTAGCATATGCAAAAGTATATATGAAAGGTATGAAATGGCGTAGTTAGAGAATGGTGAGACGCACAGTGTGGCCAAAACACCAAGAAAGAAGAAACAAAGGAATGGAAAAATTGAGTTTCTCTAGGCCTCAGTTTTTCCATTTATGAAATAAGTAGTTAGCTAAGATGACTCTAAAGACTGCTGTAGTCCAATATATAGGTTTCTGCCATTGTGTCAATTACTTCTTTTAGTGCTCTCAAGGCTGGGAATATAGTGGGGGTTATATGAATAATATGGCCCCTATAGTGGTGGTTTTCCCCATAGTTGTTCAGTTTTTTGATGTACAAATGAGGTTAATTCTATCTACAGGATTCATCACAAAGATTTGAGAAAGTAGCTTCCTAGAGGGGAAGTACATTGGTCAATTAATTAAAATCCTTAATAAATAATATTATATGATGAAAAAATATCAGCAACTGCTTTATGTTCCATGTAGCAAAGTGCTCTAAAATTAAGGCAGTTTATTGTCAAAACTCACATTCTTTAATTAGTACTATACCTATTATAACTTAGAATCTATAAGTTTTTATACTCAAAACTTGATGTGTGAATTATTATTAATATGATATGCTATCTTATTTTATCTATTTTATAATTTCTCATCTATATCACATCTGTATATTATAATTTCATCTCTGTTCAGAAACTCAGTAATGTAGTTATAAATCTCTATCTCTGAATAAACTACATGTTATTGGCTTCATATCTTTAAGTGGATTTATTCAAGTTCTGGTATACAGTGTGAATGTTTTATTTGCCTCTTTCATGGTGTCCCCAAGTGTACAGAATAACCAGTGAATCAAAAATAATATATGGTAGGCTCAATGATTGAAAATTCCAAGGCACCCCAATCTATACTTTCTGATTCATTTTATCAAACACAAGTAGATAATTACACTGAAAATTTATAAAAGATATTTAGAATGATGCAAGTTGAAATAGACCGACCTATTTGAAACTGCGGCAGGAACTGTCAGAAAGAACTCATACAGTTTCTGTCATTTGAATATCCAATATTTTCATTAAAGAAGATATTTAGAATGCTTTTATAAAATGCTGCCCAATTATTAGCTATTTTTCTCTCCCCACCTTCTCTAAGAAAATCTTAAAAGAAATCCTAGAATATTAGCCACTGTTGACTCTGTCCTACTTTTTATTCACAGACATTGATGAGTGTGCTGAAGGGCGCCACTACTGTCGTGAGAATACCATGTGTGTCAACACCCCGGGTTCTTTCATGTGCATCTGCAAAACTGGATATATCAGAATTGATGATTATTCTTGTACAGGTAAATGGTAGCTACCTAGGAAATAGAATATTTCTGGGTCTTCAGTTTTTTTTTTTTTTTAAGATTCTTTTGACTCTGAGTTTTTGGTAAGTATGCCATAAATACTAAGCAAAATCATATCTTCTTGATTTAGTAGTTAATTATTAATCTGTTTGAAAGATAGGAATACCTGCTTGCTCTAGATAAGTTTAATATTTCTTATTAGACAAACTAAAGAACCAAATCAATATTGTACTAAATTTATACATGAATAGTATTTATGTTCAAATTTTATGTGAATTACTAAGGCTAATCTGAGAAACAACACTTATGTGATACTTCCTTTGTATGACAGTGTTTTTTTAGTAGGGGGGTGTATTTGTTTTCTTTCTGTTTTGAGTTTTTCAACCCAGAGTGTTGTACATGAAAGGCAAGTGTTCTACCTCTGAACTCCTCTCCAGCCCTTAGATTTCTGAATAGAGGATTGTAATGTTTTTCAGAAATAGATGCTTAGATTTCTAGAAAATGAGGGTATAGAAGATATTCTTTACACTTTGGAGAAGTGCAGTTGCGTATTTCATTGAAGAAGTTTTCCTTATTTTTGTTTCATTGAAATGCCACTTCATTTAGTGCCATCCAGAGTGCTTAGGGATATCCTGAGTATTAATAACGTCTTAAAAATTTCCTGGGATAACACCTATTCTCTTCATATTTCATGGGTTCTTGTGGGTAGAATATGAAAAATAGAAAACTAGATTGATGACTATGGAATTTGAGGAAATGTGGGTATGAAATAGGTCATTCTTTTGGAATTTCTTTTTTTAAAATAGGAGAAATAACATGTAAAATACGTAGGATCATAAAACTGGAGAGAACTTTAAATTTTATTCTTACCATTTTTATTCTACTTCCAATTTTATAATTTTTTATCAGATAGATTTTATAAATAATTTCTAGAGGTTCCCAGAGAAACAGACTCTACACAACTCCCTAGTAAAAATATGAATTTAAATTAATGTGTCACTTTTTGTGTTTGTATTAGTTGTACATTTATGTATCTTCATTATAACATCTATAATGAGTACCAATTCATATTTTCCTTATCAGAGAAAGAGGAAGGATATACCTTCAAATTCAAATATAGTCTTTATATAAAAACAAAATGATAATGATAGAAATAAAAATAATGAGAACTGACTTACCAATCTATGAGGGAAATGCAAAGATGTCTTATAGGTAGAAAAGATATTTAATATGGTGATGCAAATCAATTCATAAATTCCTACTTTTGAGCCAGTTCATCCTAGAGATTTTGAAATTATTCCAGCAATTTTGCATTATTTCTTTGGACCAAATTTAATCATAATGAGTGGCATACTGTCTTGAAAAAGGACTGGAGAGATGGTTTTCAACATAAAAGTAAATTTTAAAAACTGTCAGAATAATGGAGGATATAATGCACAGTCTACTGTAATATTGATAATATTGATAAGCCTGAATTCCAATTTAATGGTTAATAAGAAACTATGATAAAACTGTTGTGTATCTTAGAAAGTGGTATTTCAAAATGTACTTGTTAAAAATAATTATGTGCATTTCTAAGAAGTCTGCTGATTTTTTGGCATTAGAGACTTAAACAGCCTTGTATATATTTATACTTCCTAGTGATCCTTTTAGCTTTTCTTGTACTCTTAAGAGATTTTTCAAGATTTTAAGTAAGAAGATGTATCACATAATTTGGCCTTGTGTTAAATGGAGAGTGCTTCTCCAGGGCAGAATATTTTTAAGAGGTTCATTTCTATTCTGAATCTGTCTGTTGAATGTAAATCCAATTATAGCAAATTCAACAGTTTAGCTTTAGTACATGACAGAGAATCTTGAACTTTGGATTTTGCCTCTCTCATCACATCCCCCTTCCAAATAAAATTCCAAAAATTGCTATTTTTGACCTCTTAGGGTGAATTTCCCCATAGGATTCCAAGGTTTCTAATGATATAAATGAAGTATTCTTTGGTCGGAATGCAGAGGAAAGCTGAAATAATTTTAAGAAAAGTTATTCAAGCTGTAGTTTTTGTGCCTAAGGAGCCAGAGCCGAGAATTTCAAAATCTGGCCGATGATAGGGAATGTTTTTCCTTAATGAGGCACTAGCATTTCCAACTAGCACCATTATTTCTATGCTTCCCCTTAAAGAGGAGAGTTTCCTTGCTCTTAAATTTACATTTCTATACCCCAAAGTTAGGTTTCCTAGGGAATATGTGTGCATTTTGTTTTATTCCAGAGTCAGCTGAGCATTGTCAAAATTCTTCTTTATGTTAGGTGAGTCCCCCACTCCCATCCTCCCATTCATTGTTAAAGCCTGTCTGTACCAAAGACTTAAAGATGCGACTTCTCAGATGGGGGTTTGCCTTGTACCTGAAGGTACCTAGGGTATTCCTTTTAAGAGCATCTATAAGACCAAAGTTAGACTTAATTTCTATGATAAAAATTGAGATTGATTTTTTTCTAAATTTTAGTAACCACATCCATATATTACATACTTGGATCTGAAGACAGTCCAAAATAAATGTCAAGATACCACTGCACAGGCATTCCCTGTTGTTTGTGGCCGAATTCTGAATTTTTTTTAAATTTTCTTTTATTGCGGCTTGGAGTTCAAAATGCATTTTGTTTCTGTATTCCTTCCACTCTTTCTTGTTGAAGAGCCCTTCACCATAACACAACTGACACTGTCAATGCTGTACCCTGCAGACTCTCAAAATTGCTTACCCTAACTGAAAATTAATTGTATACAATCTAATTTAAATAAATGTACAAGACCAACACAATAATTTATAGTTAGGATATTTGATCAATAAAAGGCCTTTTTTGTTTTTATAATGTCATAGATCTGATGTACAAATTATGTATGCTATAGAGTAATTACCTTCTATAGTTGGTAAAATTGCACCTTTTTCTCTATTTCACATCATTTAGATTAGATTTTCTCAATGATCATAAGATTTGGGGGGATAGAAGAATTCTTAAAGATAATCTAGTCTAATCCCTAACTTTCATAAGGAAACTGAGCCTCAGAGAGATTTGTTGCATTACTCATATTTGTATAATTAGTGAGAGGTGAAGTAGGCCTGCAGATAAGCCTCCTTAGTCTAAGCTTTTACAGTTCTTAACATTTGTAATTGGCAATCATAAAGGTAAGTGAATGGGAAAGACTTATATTTTATATGTAGAAATACATTATTCAATTATAATGTTCAGTAATTAAGCTGACTGTCTTATAGATTATTGTAACTCCAAGAGGAATTTTTCCCCTGCAGATCTCAAAAATAATCCTAAATTAGAAGTTAGTAAAAGAAATATACAGCATCATTTTCTGGGACTCTGATCATTACAAATTTACAGCATTAACTCAGTTATACCATTTTAATAAAGGATATAGCAGTTTATACTTTTATAAACCCACTAACATAATTTCCTTCTAACAAGGGTACTATTATTATTGACATTTCATGGATTCTCTCCTTCTCACATCCTTTCCTGTTCTTGAGAAGAAAGACTGAGTGTACCTACAAGAAAAGGGATGGGGGAAGTGGAAATGAGGGAAGAGAATGAGAAAAGGGAAGGAAGAGAAGGAAGTAAGGGAAAGAGGAGAGAAAAGATAAAGGAAAAGATGGAGGGGGGAAAGTTTTGGTTTATATAAGCCAAGGTATTTTAATCCCATTCTTTAGGATCTTGCAATAATAACTTAATTTTTATGCATAGGTAAGTTTCTTGATTACTTTATCTTATAATGGCTTTCTTGGTTCGCTTACATAAGCATTAATCAAATTGATTAAATCTTCTTGAGTCCTATTGGGTGTCTCTCCTTGGAACTGGTCTTATGTAATGGACAATGAATAAAACATCTCAGGAAACAAAGATGGAATCAAAACTGTTGGAAGTATCAAAGAATAAACATCTGAGCAAAGGAAGCAAAGGCATTTGTTTCAGATCTTCCTAATATATCTCCATGTTCTGATTGTTATAATAAAAAAGAAGTTCTGATTCTTGTGTTGACTTGCTTGTCATCTCTCTACTGTTGTACAGTTCTTTGGAGTAGGGACAGGAGAATAGGAAGGATGTCTGAGTAAAAGAGATAGGAAATAATTTTACCTAGTTCAGGAACTAAATTAGACTTTTAGGGCAGTGATGGTCAAATAGGATGATTTTGCCTTCTCACTTGCCAGAATTTCTATGACAATGCCTGGAAATATTTTGGGTCATCACAATAGTTGTTGTGTGGGGGAGGTGTTAGTACTGACATCTGATAGCCAGAGGTCAGGGATGCTGCCAAATGTCCTATAATATTTATCTTAGCTTACCTGTCCTGTCTAGGAAATGATGTATTTCCCTGGGACCCTCCTTCCAAATGGGAAGTTTCCTCTGATTGCTTTTCAAATGAGTCATTAATCATTGTGCATAGGACATCTGGCACAGGAGAGCCTCCACAGCAAAGAATTATATCACCCAAAATGTCAACAGTACCAGGGTTCAGAAATCCTGCTTTAGAGTTATCCAATCAAAATTGTATGATGTACACATTATTTTTTAATATCTCTGGTCTCCTACAAATTACCTTTAGGACCTGTATAGGGAGTAATATCATCTCTCATTCCTTATGGTACCCAGTATTCTTTCATTGTCCTTCTGTCACAAATAAGTCTCTTATCCATAAACCCAACTTCCCAATAAATTCTCCCCTTCTCTTTCTCGTATCAGAAGCCCCATCTTGGCTTAATCTGGGAGAGTGGTTCTTCAGTGCTAAATTTTCAGGACTTAGCAAAGGCACAGAGGATTTCTTAGGATCCCTCAAATTACATTTCCCAGATGCTTCCTCAGTATGTTTTTGCTGAGTCTTGGTACTTTTGTTATCCCAGTGCTTTCTGATGCTTGCTTTGGTCCATGTGACACATCATAGGAAGTCCAAAAGCAAGGGATTGTACTAGAATCTTAATCTTTTGTTGTTGTTAAAAGAAGAACCTCC